TGTGCTGGTGCCCATTATTGAAAGAAGTCTTCCTCAGATTTGTACCCAGGCTTTAAAGGTCCACTAAGGTACGGTACAGTATTCTCTTGCGGGTAAGTTTTCATCATTGTCTTCCAAAGAGGTCGGAAATGACGCGGGTTCGTGGATGGACATACGAAATGGTATGCATAGCTTTTTTTTTTGCTAGGAGAATATGTTTTACTTGATCTCACATGAACGTTTTGGTTAGTTCGTTTGGCTTTTCCGTTTATATTCTTGTCAATTTGCTCCGGTTTCGACTGTCGAAATGGTGAAGTCAAGAAGTCGCGAATTTTGTTGGTTCAATTTTTGAACGACATCACTGGTTGCCACCTTGTGCATTCTCGGTTGTTTTTGTGCATTTAGCGGATGGTATGTGAAACCAATGAAGTTTCTGTCGTTTTTTCATTTGTTCTTTTCATTCAAATTTGGCCTCAAAAAATGAAGAAGAAAACGAACGTCGATGAAGCGAGTTTGCGTTACTTGTACTTCGTGCAAAACTGTGCAGTGTCACAGTTCCACATACCCACGGAAGTATTACAGGTGTGATTCGTATCCGTATTCCAGGTTTACATGTATTCGTATTTAGAATATTCTGGAATACTACCCAAGTATACGCTTCGCTTAAGTTCATATGGAGGGAAGAATTTATTTAGATTTTTGAGACGTGACATCTATATTTTTGAAATAATCTCTTCTTAATTTATAAATTTTTTTTTTGAGGTGCAGATAGCGTTATACTTGATAGTAAAGTACAGGATAGGATACTGCTACAGAAAAACCATCGCTTGTACTCAGCACAAAAGATAATTATCTTCAATAAATTTAACATTGAGAGTCCTGAAGGAATAACCCACAGTAAAAATTTATCAAGTATAGAGCATGACAACTTTAAACCAGATACAGTACATATTTTCAAATTTCTCTTATAATTCCAATGCTGCTAATGGTTGTCAAAATTTTCTGGTTGACTTCCATCCATTTTTTTTGCTTCTGATACGTCTTCTTTGTTCATTTACTGGAGTTCTGAAAATATAGCCGATTCATTCATACTTGATTTGTATGTTCAAACGTAGCATTCAATAATATATGCTGGTTTCCTAATACTGTATTGTATCCCAATACTCTCTACAATATACTGTACTGTACAGCTAAAAGCTGGCCATATTTTATAAGTCCTACTCATTGTTCCAGCACTTACACTATATAGAAAATACTGTATAAGCCTTGACCCTCCCAGCCGAAATTTGTTATTAAATCATGCCTTTCCTCGACCAATTTATTAAAATTTAATAGCTGACGAATACAGAAAAGCATATTAATTCTTTCTTCGATAATATTTTCACGCAATTACTTTAAATTTTAAAATTTTATTACTGCATCAGTGACTCCACAAATATACTGCATACAGTATGTGTAAGTTAATCAAAGGAAATTATTTCCTGGCCAAATTATTATTCCAATTTTCATCCTTCACAGAAATTTTTGTGGAATAGACATTCTAAAATGTAGCCCCAACGCAACAACAAAAACTTGAAAATTTGTTGAGGAAGGTTTGACCGAAATCTTCCAATTGCAGTAGGGAGAGCTTAAAATTTCATTGGGCTTGAGCCGCTTGATAGAATTGGCCACGATTTAGATTGCAATTTGGATTTTTGATGTTTTCAGCACTGAGTACCCTCATAAAACTATTCTATATAGCATTCATTCTAAGAATATTTTTACATGTTTTATCGTCGTGAGGAGATAATTGTCAAATGGAATTTTCTGAAAGAATGAAGCACGTAAGTGTCCAATACCTTCGCATCGCGTTTTTAATATTTTTATTCAACTTTTTGAATGGCTCTCAGAAACAAATGCAAATTTACCCGCAACAACAAAAAGGCTTGAGAAAAAACGCGCTAATAAATGAATCGGTCACTGCCCTTAGCCGCTAGCTTTAATCCTACAATGTTGCTGATTTTTTTTTCCCCCTGGAAAAGCAAAAACAAAGCTTTCATGCATTACTGCATGCGCATCACGACGTTTGTCGGGGCCACAGGCGATGACGGAATCCTACGCACAAAATAAGAATAAAAAAAGCAGATGAGTGCAAATGAGCAAAAAATGCGCTACTCGCAGTGCATGCATTCTCTCTTAACGGCGATCAAGTTGTAAATGCAACATATGGAGACGAGCGGACCCACCAGGAAAGCGAATTCTTTTGGGCTCAGCCTAAGCGATATTTCACGTTGGCTGGGCAACAGTCATTCACCTACCTGGCTTGGGAAAAATCGTGAATGCGACATGCTGACTGTTGGTGGTACATGTCACAAATTTAAAAATTGATCAGATTTTGAGTTTTAAAAAAATAAGAGTTGAATATTTGGCGATTTTTGTCGCACTTGTTGGGCAAAGGCCCACAAGGAACAAAATTTCGAATTAAGAAATGAAATGGAATAATCAGAACACACAATCCGCCGGGGAAGTCGGCAGGGGATAACTCGGTAGTTATCCCAAAAGAACTGAGATGATATATTCCTTTGACAAATGCGACTTTGATAAAATAACACACTTGTGTAAGATGACTAGCAAGCTCTGATGCGATGCCAACAGAAACTAAACGATCTCTGGTTGAGACCAGAGGAAAATGGAGGAAGGAAAAAAAAGGCTATTGCTCAATGGGGAAATTCCAACCTGGAATTTCCACCTTGGAAGTAATTTTCTGAAGGTTTTTCTGTCCTGAAAACCGGACTTGTAATCTTGGGCAACATTGGTGCCCTACAGCACTGATGCATCATTCAATAATGGAGGGATTTACACAACAGAGCTACTGAATCCATATGTATGTTACAACAAATATCTCAGTACAACAAATTCGTTTTCGAAAAGAATTCTTGTGGTTACTCACTTTTATTAGAGCCTTACTATTAAAATGTTATGCATCAGAATAAACAAGCTATTTTTAAAGATCCCAATACCTTTTTGTAATGAAAATTTTCTGATATGGATCATATTGTTGTGAGATATTCTAAATTTTTTTGGTCCACAAACTGGCAAATTTCCAAAAAATATTCTGTGGACCAGCAAAGGTTCATAAAATTTTTGCAGACTCAGCAAAAATGTATGCCACAAAGACTTTATGGCAAGATTAAAAAGCTTTCCACTTTTTTGCACAAATTAGGTTAAGGTTGAAAAGCCAATAATGCAGCTATAGTGGTCTGTTTTTGAAAATTTATAAAGGTGGGCTAGGGGGAAATGTTTCTCTGAATGAAAAATTTAGATATTTTGTTTCATCAGGTGAACATTTGTTTCAAGTGTTATTATTAAAAAAGTCACCTTTTTTCATCAGATAAGTTAAACTACCATTCTCTTTTCAAAATTTCACATGAAGATAACATAATTCATTGCTACTTTTGATAATTTTATTACGCTGAAGCAAATTGCTCATGGACTGGCAAAAAAAAAAAAAAACTTCTGCAGACCAGCACCATTGCACCAATCGCAGGTTGGGAACAATGTGCTAGACAACTTCTTGCTTTCTCGCTGTGTTGCCTGAAAAGTCCAACCTCATATACCACAAGAGGTACCATCAGTAACACCATATGGGTATCATTTGTCAAAGGGTGTCCAGTAAGGTTTCCTACCAGCTTATTTCCCTATATGTGGTCAGTATAGAGGGATTAAGGTGAGTGAACCATTCAAGAAGAAAGGAGATTTAGTCACTGGCCTCCCAATTAACCTCCTGGAGAAGGACCACGCAGTTTAATCCTTTTAGGTCCAAACAGTGCAGGATAATCTGGTCGGAAACCATTCCTAGGTATAGGGATCTTGTCAAAGAAGCCCATGATTCCCCTGCTTATTTTCTGGGAAAGCAGGTGTTTATCTCATGCTTAGGGGGTCGTGTCCATATTATACATGCTGTGCAGTGGAGGGTCCTTCGTCGCCGCTGCATTCCGCAGTCGCCGCGGCGCCGGCATCGGAAAGAAATTTGTCACCCCACTAACGGCGTCCTTCCTTTAAAAAAAAAAGAAGAGAAAATAATGAACTCATGGATCGCAATTCCAGGAACTAATGGAGACATGATGTTCCTTCTAGAATGTTATTCCTCTACTGGCAAACGTCCGGCGCAATACCAACGAATATAAAAGCGTCCTTGCTGCATGCGAAGGACTATTTGAAAGTTGGTTGCGAATATGGAGCAATTGTAATTAAATGTTGACTATTAAGACAGGGACTTTTGTACTTTTTCATAAATTTGTGTTCCGGTTTATAAATGTGGCAGTTCATTAAAACCCGCCCTTTAAATGTTCCATTATGGCAGTAATACAACTGCATTTTAATTGCTGAAAGCGCCTTATTAACTGTATATTTAATGCAGGTGTTTAAATTTATTCGTAACCTCGTCCTTATTCCGTGTTGGAATCGTTCTCTTTTCATACACTGTATAATTTTAAGCATCGTATTTTATCATATTAAACTTCTGTTTCACAATTTTTTGTCTGAAAAAAAAATCTGCTATATTGTATGTGTACATTATACTAATGAATCATTTATGAAAAAATTGAATTTTTGTAGTGAATTTCAATGACTCGTGTTTGGGATTTTTTTTAATGACAAAGCC